GGGGGGGGGGTGAGGGGATAATGGGGGGATAAGGACACATGTAATACCTTAATCAATAAAGAAATTAAAAATATATATATTTGTATTGATTTCAGAGACAAAAGGAGAGGGAGAGAGGAAGAGAAACCTCAATGATGAGAGAGAATCATTGATCAGCTGCCTCCTGCACGCCCCCTACTGGGGATGGAGCCTGAAACCTGGGCCTGTGCCCTTGACCCAAATAGAACCTGGGACCCTTCAGTCTGCAGGCCGACAAAAAGTAGTGATTCTTCCCAGCAGGGAAGCTATTGCAAAAAGTACACGCAGTGTCAGGCTGCAATCTCTCTTCCTCCACCAGGTGGGGTGGATGCACTGGCAGCTGCCTCTGCGCGTTCCCGGTGGGAGCGGACCCGGTGCCTCAGGACTCTGGATGACCTACCCCAGCTGGCTCCCTGGCTCCACTTGGCTCCCAGGCTGCAGAGGGCAGAGCCCCAAGCGGTCAAAGGACGCCACAGCCTTGAAGGAAGGTAGGACCTGAAAAGGAAATTCTGACGGGGATCTGCATCCCACTGCGGGAGTCACGCACCCCAGGACGCGAGCCCCTTCAGTCTAGAGCAGCGGTTCTCAACCTTCCGAATGCCGCGACCCTTTCATACAGTTCCTCATGTTGTGGGGACCCCCAACCATAAAATTATTTTCGTTGCTACTTCATCACTGTCATGTTGCTACTGTTATGAATCGTCATGTAAATATCTGATACGCAGGATGTATTTTCATGGTTACAAGTTGAACATAATGAAAGCATAGTGATTCATCACAAAAACAATATGTAATGATATATGTGTTTTCCGATGGTCTTAGGCGACCCCTGTGAAAGGGTCGTTCGACCCCCAAAGGGGTTGCGACCCACAGGTTGAGAACCGCTGGGCTAGTGGGAGAAGGAGGACAGGGTGGGTCTTGGAGAGCAGCCAGGAGGAAGGAGAGACCTCTACTCCAGAGAGAAAGGGGTGGAGAGTAATGAGGCAGGAAGAGGGGAAGGTCCCAGGCCCTGCTCCCAGGTAGAGTCCAGGAGGTGACAAGGCTTGGGGTGGAGTGGCTGCCAGGTATACCGGGGTGGGGTGGGGGGTGGATCCCCGACACAGAGCTCACACCCCTCCCCCACAATCCCCAGCGGAAAGGAAAGGTCAAGCTGAGTGAAAGGCCTACATATTGTGTGACTTCCAAAGAGCGTCCTTAGGGGAGGGTCCATGCCCTTCTTCTGGGGTGAAGCCCTGGTTTGCCTGAGACTCTCCCGGTTTTATTTTAGTATTATTATTTTGTAATATATCTTTATTGATTAAAGGAAATGATGAGAGGGAGAGGGAGAGACAGAAACATCAATGATGAGAGAGAATCATTGATCAGCTGCCTCCTGCACGCCCCCTACTGGGGACCGAACCTGAAACCCTGGCACATGCCCTTGACCGGAATTGAACCCGGGACCCTTCAGTCCACAGGCCGGCGCTCTATCCACTGAGCCAAACCAGCCAGGGCTATTTTATTTTTCAATGACAATTGTCATTCGATGTTATGTTAGTTTCCAGTGTACCTCTCAGTGGTTAGACATTTATTAAGTTGCGAAGTGATGCAGTTTGAAAGCCCCTGCTTCTTAAAGGAACAGTGACAGCCTGACCCGCTGTCCTACTCTGATCCTCCCCTTCCCTGCTGTTTAGCCACTTCTCACCCTCTTACCTACGGACTGCACAGAATCCAGCCAGACACAGACAGGCTAATGAACATAGAGGCCAAAAAGAAAAGGGTTAAATCTTAGGAAAAGTTGCAGCCCTGGCCGGTTTGGCTCGGTGAATAGAGCATCAGCTTATGGACTAAAGGTCCTAGGTTCAGTTCTGGTCAGGGCACATGCCCAGGTTGCAGGCTCGATCCCCAGTGTGGGGCATGCTGGAGGCAGCCGATCCATGATTCTCTCTCATCATTGATGTTTCTCTCTCTCTTCCCTTCTTCCTTCCTCTCTGAAATAAAAAAATATATATGTTTTAAAAAGTTGTGCCGAAACCGGTTTGGCTCAGTGGATAGAGCGTCGGCCTGCGGACTGAAGGGTCCCGGGTTCGATTCCGGTCAGGGGCATGTACCTTGGTTGCGGGCACATCCCCAGTGGGAGGTGTGCGGGAGGCAGCTGATCGATGTTTCTCTCTCATCGAAGTTTCTAACTATCTCTCTCCCTTCCTCCCTGTAAAAAATTAATAAAATATATTTTTTAAAAAGTTGCATAAGCCTAAGCCCTCAGGAGAGAGCTAGCACCAGCCGGTGTCGCTGGCAGCAATCCTGGGGGACTGGCTGCCTCAGGTCCCACTCCAGGGGCGACCTTGGGAAGGAAACCTACTCCCGGGGGTGTTGCATCAGGCCCCAGGTGGCCTTGTTTCTAACAAAGCATTGCTGTTCCTGGAAATACTGGCCTCAGCCACACCTGTGCAACCCAGGAACTGTCTGGGTTTGTGAGTTAGACTGAGGGTGGGGCTGAGGGTACAAGGCAGGTTTGTGTACAGCAAGCATGTCAAACTCAAAGGCTAACACAGGCCAAATAAACAAGGTTTGAGTGTATGTGGGCCGAAAAAAAACAAAGGCTTCAATTTTCATAGAAACGTAGCTTTATTTCAATAGAGACATGCTGAATACAAAGGGCTGAAATAAATGAGTCACCGTTAACATAAAATCATAGAACATTTTAATAAAAATTAATATTTTTTCTTGAAT